GTTGCCATTTCTGGGCTCAGGAGTTGCGCATGCACACGCAGGAGTTGTGGTTCCAGGGGTCATCAATTGCAGTTCCCGGGCTCAGTAGCTGCGGCCCGTGGGCTCAGGAGTTGTGGTTCCTGGGCTCTGGAGCACATGCTCAAGTGTTGTGGTCCAGGGCACAGGGGCTTGGTGGCTCAGCGGCATGCGGGAAATCCTGGATCAGGGATTGAACCTGTGTCTCCCACATTGGTGGGCAGATTCTTTACCGCTGAGCCCTCTAGGTACCAGATCTTATAAAAATTATTAATCGGTTCTATCTGTAACAGTACCTGAGGATTCTTAAAATTTGGATTTTACAAAATCAATTTTGTAATAATAATATATAATAATAAATATTAATAAATAATAATAATGATGATGACTAAACCCATCCGGTGGACTTGGGTTTAGTCTCTGACTGCAATTGCTTATGGGCTTCCCAGGAGGCACTAGTGATCTGCCTGCCAATGCAGGAGACCCTAGAGACATGAGTCCAATCCCTGGATGGGGAAGATCCCCTGGTGTAGGATATGGCACCACCCTCCCATATTCTTGCCCAGAAATTTCCATGGGCAGAGGAACCTGGAGGGCTACAGTCCACGGGGCTGCAAAGAGTCAGATACAACTGAACATGCGCGTGTTCACACACACGCACACAGTTGCTTCCATTGTTACCATAAGTGACAGGGCTTGTCAAACTGCTTTCCAAAGAGCTTTACCCTCCTTCTATATGTTTTGCAAATACTCTGTGAAAAATGCTTACTGCGGGAAATGGCTTCTTTTTCTTTGGGGCTGCATCTTTGTTTTCTTTGGGCATCCTGCTCAGCTGCCTCAGTATTCTGTTTTGATGAAAAGGAGAGCTTAAGAGTCTTGACAAGATAAGTAACTTACACATTGATTCCAAACTTAAACTACTACATTGCCTATGAACACACACTTAGTGTATGTGAGTTGGGTGGGACTAATCTACTCATCTTCAGAAGTGGAGCCTGTGACACAGGCCTGCCCCCTCAGGGCTTTTCTTGGGACTTTTGCTGGAACCATCAGTGGAGAGGAGTTCTCATTATTAGGATTCCTAGCTTTAGAGATCCTGGTGGTCATCTCTGCTATCTCATAAAGAAAGGTTATTGGAAAACAAAGGTAGTATAGAGGAAAGCAGTAGTTAAAGGACAAGGAAAAGATTTCTAATTACATTTTAGCCCTTTCACACATTTCTGAAGCTGAACTGTCCCAGTTATGTGATCCAGTGACTCTTCATCCCATCTTTTATAATCATGTTTTGCTCCTCTATAAATAATTGCATCTAAATTACTGATCTAGCTGTGTTATATTCTGTAGAAAACTTTCAAGTACTTCTCTAGCAAGGGTTTTACTATTACATGTTAATGCCTAAATACTTCACGATCATTGTTGTGTACCACATAATACACCTATGGAATATGAAACAAAGAAATGAATTAACATTTAATACTTATAAATATGGGCTTCCCACGTGACGCTAAAGAACCTGCCTACCAATGCAGGAGATATGAGATACCAGTTCAATCCCTGGGTTGGAAAGTTCCCCTGGAGGAAGGCATGGCAACCCACTCCAGCATTCTTACCTGGAGAATCCCATGGACAGAGGAGCCTGATGGGTTATAGTCCACGGGATTGCAGAGTTGGAGACAACTGAAGCATGCATTCATGTATGCACTCATAAATCTGTCCTATTATATGTAGCCATCTTTATGATAGGGACTTCCCTGGTGGCTCAGAGGGTAAAGCGTCTGCCTTCAATGCAGGAGAACTGGGTTCGATCCCTGGGTGGGGAAGATCCCCTGGAGAAGGAAATGGCAACCGACTCCAGGACTCTTGCCTGGAAAACCCCATGGATGGAGAAGCCTGGTGGGCTACAGTCCATGGAGTCACAAAGAGTCAGACCTGACTGAGTGACTTCACTTTAACTTTATGATAATCTGAAAAGTGTAAACAGCAGTTGCAAAACAGTCACCTAGTCAAAAAAACCAAACAAAACAAAACTCAAATAACAAATGAGTAAATAAGTGATTGCAGATGGAAAGAAAACATATCTGGTAAGACAGGCATTCATTCTCTGATTGAATGCTTTCTCATTAGAAATAACCAGTCTATTACAGGGCTCAGTCCTTTTCTCTGAAACCCAGGAGTCAGAAAGTTTTAAAGCCAGAATTCCTCAGCTCCTGTAAGCTCCATTTTTTTGATCGTCATTTGGATTCTGCTGTTTGACACTTTCCTCAAACATTTGTTGATGCTTATGTGTCTGTTCATATTTGCATGTGAAGCACTTAAAAGCTAATCAGAAGCACGTACCAGTAACACTACTGCCACCTTATATCAGCTTGAGGGACTTTGTTGAAGGTTTCTTTTCTTTTTAGAGCCCAAATTTCCAGTGTCTGTCTTTTTATCCCAGGAAGGAAGAACTCCCTTCGCTGCCCCGCAACCTCCAGCTTCAGCTCCCCGGAGAGTGTTCTGGGCATTGACAGGGGAGACTACAGTATCATGGTTCAGCACGACTGGGGAGTGGTAGGGAGGGTCTTGGTGGCCTAACTGTTCTTTACACAAAACTTTTAAGTTATGCTTGTCCATTTGTTTGTGGGATAAAATATACATAAAATTTACCATTTTAAATAGTTTTAAGTATACAATTTAGTGGCATTAAGTACATTCACAATGTTGTGAAACCATCACCATTATCGATACCTAGAACTTTTTCATCATCCCCAACAAAAATTCTGTACCCATTACTCAGTAACACTCACTTCCCCCTTCCTTTCAGTCCCTGGTAACCTAGATTCTATTGTCTATGAATCTACCTATTTCAGGTACTTCATATAGGTAGAATCATATATTTTTCCATTTGTGTTGTTTGTATCTTTTTATTTCTCAAATTAACTCAGGTTAAGTGGTCCAAGGCCAAATGCTCCAAGTGGAAACAAGGCCACAGAAATCTAGGTATGTCTGTCAAGAGATTATAGTCCTTACTGTGCCATTACTACCTTGTCTATACGTATACATACACAGGAAGTATTTTGTACTTGCCATTAAATCCAGAATGTTTTTTCATCCCATTAGTTCTCTGAAACATTTTAATGCTTTCTAATAATCATTTTGTATATATGTTTTGAATTTTAAATAATACATACCTTTGTACATAAATATTTGTATTTCTGACTAGAACCCTAGGATAAAATGTGATGTTATTTTTGGTTCAAAACAGTAGAACTAAATAGTTGATACTTGTTAAATTACCCTTCAGAAATTAGCCAGTATATAAATATGACATCTTCATCACCACTAATTTTTTAGTTAGGTAAAAACTAATGTTCTACTGTTTGTAATAGATGTTTTGATAAAATACTTTTATTTACTATTTAAATTTTCTATATATTGTTTCTGTCACTAGTCTAGCATTCAGTCGTTTTGTCTGGTTTCCTCACTAAGATCTAGAATATGTTTTGCTGGAGAGGCATTAACACCTGCTTTTATAGTTTTCAAAGTGGAAATGTTTTTATTGCTTTTAGTAACTAAAAACTAATCAATAGATATTCTTTTTAAAAGCACTCAATTGTAGAGGAATACGGCTTCCCTGATGGCTCAGTCGGTGAAGAGTCTGCCTGTTACGTGGGAGACCTGGATTTGATCCCTGGGTTGAGAAGATGGAAATGGCAACCCACTCCAGGATTCTTACCTGGAGAACTCCATGGACGGAGTAGCCTGGTGGGCTACAGTCCATGGGGTCACAAAGAGTCGAACACGATTGAGTGACTAACTGCAATAGTAGAGAAATAGAGAAAATAGAAAATTAAAGGCTTCATTCATAATGCCATTCCCATATAACTATCTGCAAAGGGTATGGGAAGATTTAGTCATAAATACAAAGAAAGATAAAACATGAAAAAAATAAGACAACTATTGACTCTAGGAAAAATGTAATCATGGTATATTCATTAGCTCTGAAGTGAACAGTATTTCAAGATCATAAAATAAAAGCAGTAAGATATGGATTTAACCAAAAATTTTAACAGTCATATTGTGAAAGTGGAGGAGGGCAGAGGGGAGTATAGCTTGAAAAGTCCTCCTTCATTCCTTTATGGGTTAAGTGGCAGAAATATATATATTTTATTTAGCAAGATGTATGTACACGTGAAAAGAAATAAAGAAGCTGGCTGGCTGCTTCTGGGGAATGGAACGTGACGCCAAAGACAGGACAAATTACTGCTGTTTGGCTACAAGCTTCTGAGAGCTACTTTATATTTTATGGGTGACTGCAATGTATCCAGATAGGGATAAAGCTAAAAGAAGTAAGAGAACAGAATACCTACATTTAAAAATAAAGGTCTCTTGAGAAAACTTTATTAACATGAATAACAATAAATCACTCCAAACTTTCCAGTCTTTATGATAAAGTTTTTGTTTTAAAGATGAAATTTATTTCATGAATAAACTTTTATAATGAATAAACTTTTATAATGAACTTCTCAAATCTTTTTACTATCTACCTTTCTGGCTCAGCTGGTAAAGAATACGCCTGCAATGCGGGAGACCTGGGTTCGATCCCTGGGTTGGGAAGATCCCTTGGAGAAGGGAAAAGCTACCCACTCCAGTATTTCTGGCTTGGAGAATTCCATGAGCTGTATAGTCCACGGGGTCACAAAGAGTTGGACACGACTGAGCGACTTTCACTTTCTTCTTGGGATAGCATTGTTATGATAGTATTACATTTTCTTTTTTATTCAAATGAACTATTTTAAAGATTAATGATTATTAGCAAATCTTGATGCAAGATAAATATGATACTATAAAATTACCATTTCCTATCAACTATCTAAAGTAAAAAAGTATTTGGTACTAAGTGTTCTTATGCTCAAATTCTAAAAGTAATTTTTAATCCCAAGGGAACTTGGTACTCCAAGACTTAAAAAAATTTTTTTAATGATATTTACATAATATATATATTTTTAATCACTAAGTTCCTCCTCATCACTGAAGTATGTGCTTTTCTTTATCCTTGGGCGTCTTGAATCATCTGATGTTGAAGGACCTCCTGAACTGGGTTTCCATTTTTTTTGTTCTTCTTCAATTTTGGCTTGCTGTAAAGGTTATTTGGAAAACAAACAAAACAAAAATCAGGAATCTGCTTAATATTTAATAATATTAAAATAATATTATTTCTCCTACCCCCAAGTTTTCTCCCAGTCTTACCATGTTACTCAGAATTAACCTGGGCAATTTCTATTAACAGGCATATGAAATGAAGCTTACTTGCCATTGCTGCTGGATGTGGGTACATTACATAAAATACTGAATTAACTAAAAGGAAAAATGAATTGATGTATGCATTTATAATTTATAAACTACATTAAAACAAAATAACAAGTTATACAAAATCATGAAGTTATACATTTGCTTCAAAAAATGTTTCATATACTTGTATTAGGACCTTTAATGATCAAAAATGTTTTTGGTTTTGTTTTAAAATGAAGCTTCTTTTAAAACAATTATCTTTGATTTAATAAAATCTTTTCTGTTGGGGGCTAAACTCATTTTAATCAAATAGTTCTATTCAGTTCTATACTGAAAACAGATTATGATATTAAAAGTGTTGTGGGGCCCTTAAAATCTATAAAGAACCAATAGGAACTTTTCCATCACACTATTCTAAAGATCTTAAAGAAAGAGCCTATCTCCTAAAGTTTAGGGGCAAAGGGGAAAGATAGAGGATGTCATGAGGAGATGATTAATAAAGCAAGCAAGGAATATAAAACTATTAACTCAAGGGAGCTATGGCAGGTGCCTTTGAAAAAGAACTACTGAATACCTGGAAAGCTATAGCCTGACTGAGGCTGTCAAGAGCAGGATCTTCCCCTTCATCTTCACTTTCTTCTACTTCTTCACTAAATTATTAAAAAAAAAAAATGCAGTCAATAGTAAAAAGACAGAAGTGAATACACTTAATGTATTTGCTAAGAGTGGATATACATACATTTCTTCTTCTGGCTCAGGAGTTTTCTTTTTTTTCTTTTTCTCTTTCTTCTTTGGAGGTTCACGTTCTCCAAGCATATTTTTAGGACAGGCATAACTTAAGTGTCCACTTTCCTTTTGTTTTCCGTTAAGAAGGAAAGGAAGAAATAGTGCATTTATGTTAGTAACACAAAATAAGAAAAGATATACATTATGTATTATTAACAGAAACTTGGTGGTTCCTTAGTATTAAAATATTTTAGAACTTAAGAAAGAATATTGTTGCGCAGGGAATATACAAAAAGAAATTAAAACCCATTACTTTAATGTTTAAATGGAAGAGATTATGATATTATAACTCCCAATAAAGAAGTATTTAAATCTTTTTCCTAAGAGTAAAAGAAGTGTTCTTCCCTCAAACATTTTTAAATGTCAAGATTCAGGATATAAAAATTCAAAATTTAAATGGACCATCTACCTTAAATGTAAAAATTTTAAGTTAGTATGATAAAATGGGGACAAAACTACTCCTAACTTCAATGATGTTAGCAATCTCTTTTAAAAACAAATGGAAAATTTAAAGTCTTCCTCACTTTTCCTCTCAATTAATTTCATTTTGTTCAGTTCATATCTAGACTACACTAGCATTGCCCACTTATGGTAGCCATTTGTTATAATTCTCTTGTGGTTATTGAGAATTGTTTTATTTGAACTGATACACACTGGATTGTGAATCAGTTGTTTGAATTGGTACATACTGGATTGTGAAGACAGCAGGAAAAAATAATATAAAATATTATACTTAAAAAATATTAATTACATAATTCAAATGATAATATTTTGAATTAAATAAAATATATTTAACTTTTACCCTGTTTATTGTTTTTTAATGTGGCTATTAGAACATTTAAAATTACACTTGTAGCTTGCATATATTTGTATTTGACAGTGCTGGACTAGCTGTAACATTAAAATGAGACATAACATTGTCTGAGTTGTAAAAGAAGACAATGAATCTGTATATTAGCTTACCAAAATAACTTTAAGAAGATTTATGTGAGAATGAGGGTGTGGGGAGAGACTGAGCCAGGATTAAAACAGCAGAAGAGAAAATTAATCATGCTTTTCAAGTATATTTTATAAAGCATCAAACCAACTGTGTACTTTTTATACCTGGGGACATGGCTGAACCCAAAAGCTGTTATTATTTAATAAGGCACTGCTGAGAGGATGCACTTAGAGAACCATTTTGCAAAGTGTTCTGGAATAATGATATATCAAAAACTGCCAACATATCCCATACAAAAAAGGGTTTAACAATGCAACAGCTTTGAGAAAAACCAGGCTAAAATAAACAGATTTGGGGTGGGGAAGAGTTTTAAGAAATACTATAATGTACAAAGTACAACATAACACATTTATGGACCCATAAACCAAGAGAGATTAACAGATTTATCCAGAAGTTCTCAAATAATATCTACTGTGAATATAGTCATCTGTCTGATCATAGTAACTCCACCCTCTCTTCTTTTTTTTTTTTTAACAAAACTTAGGAGTCTGGAACACAGTTTTTGAAACATTAACTTAGGTGTTAGAATCACAAAATTTGACAGAACTTACCCAGGACCTTGCTTGTTCTCTCTTTTCATCTATCCATCCATCTATCCACTCACTTACCTGTCTGTGTATGTAAATATTTTTGAGGGTGAGTGAGTGGCATTGGAGAAAGAACTCTAAAAACCATTTCCTTCTATTTTCCATATAATCCTATAGCCAGAACAATGTCTCTCAGTAATTTTCCCTTCAGTAAAAGCTCCCCATTAATCTCAGGATCATATACATGGAGACATTTTAGAAACAATTTTAGAGACAGAAAGCAATGAGACCCAGACTGAAGTTCCCCTGATATCATTTCGGGCCTTGTGCAAAACTGCTCTGTGGCATATGTATGTCTCCAATCACCCAAAGTTTAAATGGATAACAATGCTAATAGATGGTGAGGACTAGGTAAGAAAATCTGGGTATAGTTCAGCTCCTGAACTATAGCAGTACCAACCGGTGGGAAAACTTTTCAAAACAATATCCCACAGAGGATAGGTCATATGACAGTGTTTTTGCTGATCTGTGATACTTAATCATTGTCAAAATACTATAGAAATGCAAAAACTTATGGGTCACTAAAATCTTTCAGACAATAATGTAGGTAATTAGTCTTAACACTTTTTAATCTAACAACTTCCAAAGATTTAGAAACTGGAGAAAATACCACTCTAGATTAACCAACTCAGATTGTCTTTACATCATACTATCAACTATTCATACATCAACTGAATTTACTTATATGAGTCTACATTCCCAAAGTGAAACTTTTATAACTCTATTTTAGCCATCCAGAAGTTCTGGAGAACACAAATAAAACATCGATGTGAAAAACACCTTCAAGTAAATAATGGAAAATTATATTGCTTTAGGTATACTCACCCCACATTCATAACACTTAGATTTATCAAAATAGTTTCGTCTTCGGATGAACTCAGCTGCTCTTCCATTGTCAATAGCAATGCTTGCTTTTATCACTCTACCAAATAACTGGACCAGAGAAAAATGTAAATGCAGAAGGATGTTATCTCATTGAAACCTACAACTACAGTTATTGGATTTCATTTCCTCAAGTTTTCAATTCTATTTTATTTTTTTATATTATTTTAGCAAATGCCCAGGTAGGCGTGGCAAATTATTTCCTGTAGAATAGATTTTTATTCCTTATATTCTACCAGTGTTTTGGGAACCCAGTACAGTTTTGACCTCTTTTCTATAAGTAAAATACCCTCAGGACCTACTGATATCCATCAGACTCTATCACCCACTGCATCCCCACATTTTTAGCCTGGTTTGAACACAGACTTTTGGTTAAAAACCTTCCTGGGACATGGAAGCAACCTAGATGCCCATCATCAGATGAATGGATAAGGAAGCTGTGGTATATATACACCATGGAATATTACTCAGCCATTAAAAAGAATTCATTTGAATCAGTTCTAATGAGATGGATGAAACTGGAGTCCATTATACAGAGTGAAGTAAGCCAGAAAGATAAAGACCATTACAGTATACTAACACATATATATGGAATTTAGAAAGATGGCAATGATGACCCTATATGCAAAACAGAAAAAAAGACACAGATGTAGAGAACAGATTTTTGGACTTTGTGGGAGAAGGCGAGGGTGGGATGTTTCGAGAGAACAGCATCGAAACATGTATATTATCTAGGGTGAAACAGATCACGAGCCCAGGTTGGATGCATGAGACAAGTGCTCGGGGCTGGTGCACTGGGAAGACCCGGAGGGATGGGATGGGGAGGGAGGTGGGAGGGGAGATCGGGATGGGGAACACATGGCTGATTCATGTCAATGTATGACATAAACCACTACAATACTGTAGAGTAATTAGCCTCCAACTAATAATAATAAAAATAAAATAAAATAAAATAAAAAACCTTCCTGGGAATGAATGGCTTACCTGTTTGTTGTTTATTGCCCTGGTACAGTTTTGTGCAGAGTCTTTATCCAAAAATAAAATAAATGCAACCCCTTTACTCCTCCTGGTATCTTTATCTTTCATTATAGTAACCCTAAAAGCATAAACAAATAGCCAGTTAAAAATGAGGCAGCAATAAATAAAACATACGAATAAATTCTTGAAATGAGAAACTGTGATACTAACACAAGTGAACACAGCTATGATTAGGAGTATCTGATAAATTAAACATTAATCAGAAGTTGAGAATGAAGTAAAGAGATTACAGAGACAATGGAATCTTGGAAGATTAAGCATAATTTCTCTTCTCTACTGACTCCCTCACTCTGCAGGAAAAAAACAAAACTGAGGTATTCTTTTCTGCACAAAAAGTAAAGTGATTTACTCAAAATTTTTTTCTGGTTTTAGAATAAAACTATATTCTTACTATTATTTAAAAGAATCTCCAGTTCTGTGCTTTTCAGCCATACTACCCCAAGTATCAAATGGTATGGATAGTGACAAGAGCACAGAGCCTGCTCTTTCTCCTCATCCTTCACCCATCCCTAGTCCTGTTGGCCCTGCTCATCATATGTCATTAAATACAGTTTAAGCAACAATATTCAACAGGGCCCTTTGGAGAAAACGGCTGATTTGAAGGCTGGGAGAGGCTATGTACAAGATGAACTTGGAACATCTTGTTATGCCAGAAAGGAAGCACTTGGAAAAAAAAAGTAATGATGGGTCATGGCACAAGAACAGAGAAGCCAGCTGAAGGGAGAGCCTCTTGGCCAAATCTAGGACAATCTGAGTACCAAAATAATTAAGTAATGAATTACAAACCACATAAGAAAGCGATTTTTAACTCCACGCTGATAATAAATAAATAAACGGGGAGAAAGGAGGGCTCCTGCTTATAGCACAATGCCAGGGGACGACTGGTGACTGCACAGGAGGGCCAGTGCTAGAAAAGCACCATTTGAAACGATCACAGTAAAGACCGGGTCAGGCAAGAATCATCAACAAATGCTAGGTCTCAAATGAAATTTTTATATGGAACAAGATGTTTGCAACCAGTGTCTCCCATTGATTGCTTATTAGTTGCAAAACGGAAAAATAATTACACAGCGGAGAAGTTGGTTAAACCTTGACTGAGTGATCAAAATTAGTATCACTGATGAGATAGATGGATACTGTATGAATCCAGAGTGACACCTTCAGAGTACATCATCTATAGAGTATACCTGCCAAGACTACATAACCCCCATATAATCATGAGGCAACATCAAGAAAACACATGGGTTAGAGCTGTATTATTTATAAACGTTTCAGACTAAAGGAGGCTAAAAAGATATGACAGTAAAACTCAACACCAAACTCTAGACTGGATTCTGCACTATAGGTGAAAAATTCTATGTGGGATATTATTAGGTCAATTGACAAAACTGGAACATGGACAATTGATTCAACAAAAGTACTGCATCAGGATAAATTTATGAGTTTAGTTAACTGTACTGTGGCTATATAATATATAACCCTAATGTATTTTTAAGAAATACACAATGAAGTACTGTATCTAGGAGTAAAGGGTGATGATGTTTATAACACCCTAAGATGACTCACAAAAACAAACTGTTTGTGTGTATGTATACACATATACACATAAAGACATACACATAGAGGCATATATATACATGTGTGCTTGGTTGTGTCTGATGCTTTGTGACCCCATGGACTGTAGCCTGCCAGGCTCCTCTCTCCATGGAATTTTCCAGGCAAGAATACTGGAGTGAGTTGTCATTTCCTATTTTAGGGGATCTTCCTGACCCAGGGATCAAACCTGAGTCCCTTGCATCTCCTGCACCGGCAGGTGGGTTCTTTACCACTGCTCCAACCTGGGAAGCCATACATACACACACACACATATATATACATGTACACACACATATATATATACACACACACACATATATACATATACACACACACATATACATACCCATACATGAACACACATTGGGGAGAGAGTACGAATGACAAAATAAATTGGGTAAAATGTTAACAATAAGTGAATATGGGTAAGGGATATTTTGATGTTTTTTGTACTATTTTTGTAACATAAATTTGAGATTATTTCCAAATAGCAAAAAAGAGACTAAGACAAAGCTTAATAATTTTCTAAAAACTAAATTAACAGGAAAATAGACAAGAGGATATGAATGAATAAACAAACAGAAATTTTATTTAATATTACATTTCATATATTAAATTTTATTTTATTTAGGTTTGGGTTTTTACGTACCAATAGTCTCTGGAATGAAATTGGTAAAAAGATACCTCTATATTAAGAAAAGCGATGTCTTATTTCATTAAAAAAATAAGTTACAATAACTTAGGGAAAAATGGGCAACTAAAATGGTTTACTTTCTCAAAGGCAGCATGTGTTTATTCATTGGGTTTAGAAGGAAAGAAGTACTCGATGAAGCTCAAGTTTAGACTAATTTTCTGCAAAGACACACCAGTTATTTAACATAACAAACTTTATAACCCATTTTTAAAAAAAGTGTGAAGTAAGATGTTGCTTTAACTTTTAAAAAATTCATAATGTTTCTGGGGGTCAGTTAAAGTCATAAATTAATTTTCTGAAAGTACTATTTTGGAAGTGTTAGATTTCTAAATCATCCTCTATTAATGATCTCTCTCCTCCGTCCTCTCTTTTCTATTCCTACTGCTCTTTTTCTTGTCCACAGTGGCATTACTGTTTCCATTGTCTATTCTTACTGGTTCCCTTGATGTTAATTTCTGCTCATATGCTAGTGGAAGAGTATTCTACTTAAGGAATAAATAAAATCACTTATTCCCGCGCTTAAATGTTGTTGCTTCTTCAAATTGCCTATTCTTCGGTCCAGCAACCAATAGCCTTTATGAGTACGGCTCCCACCTCCCTCATCTTTCACCGCTCCACACTTGCACACTATAAGGTTGAGCCACAAGAAGGCTCTCAGTGTTTACGGAGCATGGCCTGAACTTCCCCCTAAACTGCTGCCTCTGTTCATATGGCTTCTACCCTCTTTACATTCTCAATCTTTGCCCATAAAATTTTACTAATTCCTCAGGGTTCAGAATGTATCAGTTCTTAAAATTCTTTAACTGCCTGTCTCTGCTGAAATCTGTATAAACACTGCCTCATCTTCCCTATTAAAGAGGTTTTTTTTTTTTTTTTTTTGCAGTAATGACAAGTCTTTATGTTTGGATACATGTGATGGAATTTTCACTTTATTAACTTGCCAGCTACCTCTTTAAGCTTTATCTATAAAATGCTCCTTTCAGCTCATCTATTTTGATTGAGAAAATAGCTTCTCAAAAGCATGTATCCATTTGTTTGTTCATGAGGCCATCCAGTCCTTCCATCAGCCTCAAGCACAAGCAGTAGGACAAGGTTTTTACCCTCAGGAAAAAACTGAGAGTCTAGAGGTGGAGAGAGACCTATTAACCAACTAAAATACGTTATTCTGACAGAATTACCTTCTAGGATAACAGAAAAGTAATTATATCAAGGAACTGAAAGGACAAACCTAGGATTTATTCCCCTGTCCCTGGCATGGGAGAAAAGGTAGATGGTGGCACCATTTCCTGATATAAGGTAGATGATGCACTCATTTAAGCACATACAGTGAAGTAGACACTATTCTGGGAAACCTGGGTGTCATCTGTAACACCTCTTTCTCATTCACCCAACCATTATATACAAAATAAGTATATCACTAAGTATTACCCATTCTTCTGCCTAATGATCTCTCAAGTCTGACCAGTTTCTACCTCTGCACCTGTGTCATTTTAGTCTAGATTTCTTCCCAGGGCTACTGTTATATCTTTTGACTGGTTTCCCTGCATCTGCTCATGTTCCCCTCCAATCTAGTCTCTACAATGAAGTTGGATGGAACAAGCTTCTAAAACTTCAAATCATGTCACTCCTCCAATTAAAATTATTTAAGAGACTCTTGCGGTCCTTCAAGGAACCTGCTTCCGGACCCAGCTTGTGCTTTCTCCCTCTTGCTCACTCATCTCAAGTCACACTGGCTGTTTCACGATCTGTTTATTTTCTCTTGCCAGAGGGTCTTTGAGGGCCTTCGCACAAGCATTCCCTCTACCGGAAATGTTCTTCTCATTCTTTTTACCTACTGGTACTCAGTCTCTAGGTTTCAACTCAAAGGACACTAAGTTTGTAAAACTACTCTGATTCTCTAGACTAGATCATGTTTTCCCTGCTTATAGATGCTTACAACTCTGTGTCTAGGAGTTCCCTGGTAGCTCAGATGGTAAAGCGTCTGTCTACTGTGAGGGAGACCCGGGTTCGATCCCTGAGGTGGGAAGATCCCCTGGAGAAGGAAATGGCAACCCATTCCAGTATTCATGCCTGGAAAATCCCATGGACCGAGGAGCCTGGTGGGCTACAGTCCATGGGGTTGCAAAAAGTCGTACACGACTGCATGACTTCACTAACTCTGTGTCTAACTTCATAGCATTCTCATGGCTAACAAATAAGTATTGATACGGAAATTTATTCAGTGATTCTCACAGGGAAAAATCAAGAAAAGGTAATGGGAAGGTAAAGGAACAGGCTGGAATCAAGCTTGTCTTCACTGCTAACTGGCAATATGATTTTAGGTTTACAGGCTTCATTTTGTCAATCATAATATCAGGATGATAGCAGTGTTTACCTTAAAAGATAAAAAGATAAAAAGATAAGGTAAGGTGAGACTTTAATGAGATAATTTATGTAAAGATATTAGAACAATAAGGCTTCCCAGGTGGCACAGTGGTAGAAAATTCACCTGCCAATGCAGGAGATGTAGGAGACGGAGGTTCAATCCCTGGGTTGGCAAGATCCCTTGGAATAGGAAATGGCAACCCACTCCACTATACTTGCCTGGAAAATTCCATGGACAGAGGAGTCTGGCGGGTTAGTCCATGGGGTCACAATAAGAGTCAGACTTGACTGAGCGCACGCACGCGCACATATGAGAACAATGCCTAGCATGTGCTCATTGTTTCATATCATTATTATTAGTGTTCTGATTGATAATGATCACTGTTTGAAATTCTGAAGACCTCAAAATTGACCTAGTAGTATTTCTGATGATTTTTTTTAATGGAGAAGTAATTTTAAAAGATGTTAACTTCAGGATGCAGATGAACTTCAACTGTTTAACATACATTTATCAAAAACTAAACAAAAACAAGTAGTCAAGATAAATATGCTCTAAATTCATGGGATTTTAAATATGACTTTAAATTTATACTAAAACATATACATATGTTAGTTATAAGACAGAGTAACACTATCTTGTTTTTACTTTATACTCTCATTAACCCTGCATAGTTCAAGAGTCAGTGGTGTTTGTTTTTACACTGTTTGACAAATAATAATCCATTTATAGTATACTTGCTAACATACCTTCTACTAACTGATATTTATATTTAATCTGAGCTTTTATGTCTTATATTGGATAACAGAATCAGTTTTAGTTCTTAATAATATGGTATAAAATTACATTAATAATAATAACAAATGATAACTAATAACTAAATAACAACATAAAGGACTACCATGAAATCATTAGCTACAGGCATGTATCTATATAGTACATGGAAAGTTATTTACAATATGTCAAGTTAAAAAAAGGAAACAAAATTGCATGCATAGAATTGAGTCGTTTAAGATTTGTCTATAGATATTTATATATATTAAAAAATTAAATACTCACAAAATGTTAACAGTATTTTTATTTTTCATATCAAATATCTGTTTTACAAAAATATAGTAAATCTACTTTCATTAAGAAAATAATGGAGAAGAAAATTAAGATAGACTTTTAAATGAAGTTTCAGAATCTGATATACTTACTTTACAACTTTGCCATACTTGGAAAATATCTGAAACAAAAGACCACATAATGATTTGCAATCAATTTAAAATCATAAAAAACACATTAAGTTTTCAGGCTGTATATACTGACCACATCCTTTATTGTAGTTTACGAAAATTTTTAGCCTCTAGTAAGTAAGGCAGGCCATAGAAGATATATTTTTTAGTGACTCAAATAATACTCTTTTTTGTCTATTGGCATCACAGGTATTTATTTACCTTAATTCTTAGATTTCTGACCAAAGAGTATAAGGGAAAAAAAAAACCACTCTTCATGTGTGGTAGGTTGAAGGCACACACCACACAGCTACAGTTCCTAAGGTATATCCCTGACAACTGTCAACCCCACCAGAGCTCCAGAGAAACCCTGTGCTTTAATTATCAATGTTGTAGAATATCACTGTTCCTAACTTACTCCGCCACCCCATCAAGCAATCACTATGTCAGAAGACAGATCTTTACTTAGACTGCTTATAAAATAAAAAGTTTCTATACTGAAAAAATCGATTCCCATCAGCCTACTTCTTCTGCCCACCCTAATATATTGGTGGCACTTTACAGTTGGCCCTTCCTTCCCTTTTACATCTACATCTTCACTCTAGGCAATCTTATCTATTTCTACTCAGCCAGTACCTATATACTGATAGCTCCTGTTTAATTAACACTTTGTAGAAGTGTCTTTTACAATACATTAATATCTGTAAGAAATAGCAATAATAAATGTTTGAATTCTATAATTAACTTGTCTAACCCTGGGGCTCCCCGAGCGGCTCAGGTGAAGAACCTGCTTGCAATACAGTAGACCCAGGTTTGACCTCTGGGTCCAGAAGATCCCCTGAAGAAAGGAATGGCTGGCTACCTACTCTAGTATTCTTGCCTGCCTGGAGAATTCCATGGACAAAGAAACCCGGTGGGCTATAGTCCATGGGTTGCAAAGAGTTGGACAAGACTGAGTGACTAAAACTTCCACTTCAACCCTGGAACACAGTATAACTAGATTGCAGTGTTAGTAATACTGGAGATTTATAATAAAGACAGTTTTCTTTTCTTTTTTTTTGTGGTTTGCTTTTCATTTTCTTTCTTTAAAAAATTACTTTATTAAAGGATAGTTGATAATGTTGTGTTAAGTTTCTGGTGGACAGCAAATACATACATATATATGCATGTATGCGCGCGCGCGCGCACACACACACACACACACACTCTTCTCCATTTAGGTCTATTACAGGATATTGAATATAGTTTCCTGTGCTGTACAGTTAAGACCTTGTTGTTTATCCATTCTATATATAGTGGTTTGTATCTGCTAGTCTCAAATTACCAGTCAATCCCTTCTTGGCTTTGGCAACCATTAAGTTTGTTCTCTATGTCTGTGAGTCTGCTTTTGTTTTGTAGGTTAAGTTCATTTGTGTCATATTTAGATTCCAAATGTAAGTGAAATTTTATGGTATTTGTCTTTCTCTTTCTGATTTACTTCACTTAGTAGCATCTCTAGGGTCATCCATGTTGCTGCAAATGGCACTGTTTTATTCTTTTCATGGTTGAGTAGTATTACACACACACACACACACACACACCTCACATCTTCATCTATTTATCTGTTGATAGACATGTAGATTGTTTCCATGTCTTGGCTATAGGTAATAGTACTGCTATGAACATAGAGGTGCATGTATTTTTTCAAACTATAGTCTTGTATGGATATATACCCAGCACTGGGATTGTGGGATCCCTATGGTAACTCTTATTTTCAGTTTTTTGAAAGTGAAAGTGAAGTTATTCAGTCACATCCGACTTTTTGAGACCCCGTGGACTGTAGCCCGCCAGGCTCCTCCGTCCATGGGATTCTCCAGGCAAGAATACTGGAGTGGGTTGCCATTTTCTTCTCCAGGAGTTCTTCTCGACCCAGGGATCGAACCCAGGTCTCCCGCATTGCAGGCAGACCCTTTAACCTCTAAGCCAGCAGGGAAGCCCAATAATATACTATAGTCAACTGCCCCAGGCAAAGCTGGGATACGTCCATACTGTTTTCCATAGTAGCTACACCAATTTACATTCCCACCAATGATGTAGGAGGGTTCCTTTTGTTCTACACTCTCTCTAGCATTTACTGTTTGTAGACTTTTTCAGTTCAGTCGCTCAGTTGTGTCCGACTATTTGCGACCCCATGAATCGCAGCACGCTAGGCCTCCCTGTCCATCACCAACTCCCGGAGTTTACTCAAACTCATGTCCATCGAGTTGGTAATGCCATCCAGCCATCTCATCCTCTGTCGACCCCTTCTCCTCCTGCCCCCAATCCCTCCCAGCAGCAGGGTCTTTTCCAGTGAGTCAACTCTTTGCATGAGGTGGGCAAAGTACTGGAGTTTCACCTTCAGCATCAGTCCTTCCAATGAACACCCAGGACTGATCTCCTTTAGGATGGACTGGTTGGATCTCCTTGCAGTCCAAGGGACTCTCAAGTCTTCTCCAACACCACAGTAGACTTTTTAATGATGGTCATTCTGACTGGTGTGAGGTGGTGTTTCATGTAGTTATTTTCATTTCTCTAATAATCATCAATGTTTAGATCTTTTCATTCATGTGCCTATTGGCCATCTGTATGAATGACTGTTTTCTATATAATATTTTCTAATGGCATCTCACTTCACCCAGAGTCCTTATCATTATTCATTATCTTAACGTTATGCAAGGCCTATAAGGCACTGTAAGTCCTGAATGTGCTTGCCTCTGACTGCCCTCTTCTCTCCACTTTATTTACTGTCTGACTGAAATTCTTGTCCTCCTTAGACATCTGCACAGCTGCCTCTTATTTCCTTCATATCTTAATCAAAAGTCACCTTCCTAAAGTAAAATTTCACCCCTAAACTAACATTTAGTAACTCTTCCCTGCTTTATTTTTCCCCTTAGCACCTAACACCTTAGCATTAACTTAGTTATCTATTTTTGACAAATATCATTTGAATTTTTTATATTTCAAATTGTTTCTCTATCTTGCTGTACTTTGAGTGTGCTGTGAATGAGTGCCAGAAGAGATTTTCATCTTTTTGTTCACTCATGTGTTCCTAGTACCTGGAACAATGTTCTGTGGCACACAGTAAGTATTCAATAAAGAGAGAGATGTCTCTATTTGATACAAGGAAGGAAACTAAAGTTCCTTTTCTCTGTTCTTCCAGACTCAATCTGTCTTAATTAACTAATCAAGTACTATGTATCAAATCTTTCACTTTCATCAAGAGGCTCTTTAGTTCTTCACTTTCTGCCATAAGGATGGTGTCATCTGCATATCTGAGGTTACTGATATTTCCCCCTGCAATCTTGCTTCCAGCTTGTGCTTCATCTAGCCTAGTGTTTCTCATGATGTACTCTGCACATAAGTTAAACAAGCAGGGTGACAATGTATAGCCTTGACGTACTCCTTTTCCTATTTGGAATCAGTCTGTTGTTCCATGTCTCGTTCTAACTGTTGCTTCCTGATCTGCATACAGGTTTCTCAAGAGGCAGGTCAGGTGGTCTGGCATTCCCATTTCTTTTAGAATTTTCCACAGTTTATTGTGATCCACACAGTCAAAACGCTTTGCCATAGTCAATAAAGCAGAAATAGGCGTGTTTCTGGAATTCTCTTGCTTTTTCGATGATCCAGCGGATGTTGGCAATTTGATCTCTGGTTCCTCTGCCTTTTCTAAAACCAGCTTGAATATCTGGAAGTTCACAGTTCACTTATTACTGAAGCCTGGCTTGGAGAATTTTGAGCATTACTTTACTAGTTTATGAGATGATTGCAATTGTGTGGTAGTTTGAGCATTCTTTGGCATTGCCTTTCTTTGGGACTGGAATGAAAACTAACCTTTTCCAGTCCTGTGGCCACTGCTGAGTTTTCCAGATTTGTTGGCATATTGAATGCAGCTCTTACACAGCATCATCTTTTAGGATCTTAAAGAGCTCAACTGGAATTCCATCACCTCTACTAGCTTAGTCCGTGGTGATGCTTAAAGTCCACTTGACTTCGGACTCCAGGATGTCTGGCTCTAGGTGAGTGATCAAACCACTGTGATTATCTGGGTCATGAAGATCTTTTTTGTACAGCTCTTCTGTGTATTCTTGCCACCTCTTCTTATTATCTTCTGCTTCTGTTAGGTCCATACCATTTCTGTCCTTTACTGAGCCCAACTTTGCATTAAATGTTCCCTTGGTATCTATAATTTTCTTGAAGAGATCTTTAGTCTTTCCCATTCTATTGTTTTCCTCTATTTCTTGATGAAAGTGAAAGAGGAGAGTGAAAAAGAGCCTCTTGATGAAAATGAAGATGAGAGTGAAAAAGTTGGCTTAAAGTTCAAGATTCAGAAAACTAAGATCATGGCATCTGGTCCCATCACTTCAAGGCAAATAGATGAGGAAACAGTGGTAGACTTAAGATAGCATATTAAAAAGCAGAGATACTACTTTGTCAACAAAGGTCCGTCTAGTCAAGGTTATGGTTTTTCCAGTAGTCATGTATGGATGTAAGAGTTGGACTATAAAGAAAGCTGAGCACTGAAGAATTGATGCTTTTGAACTGTGGTGTTGGAGAAGACTCTTGAGAGTCCCTTGGACAGCAAGGAGATACAACCAGTCCATCCTAAAGTAGATCAGTTCTGAATATTCATTGGAAGGACTGATGCTGAAGCTCCAATGCTTTGGCCACCTGATTCAAAGAAATGACTCATTTGAAAAAACTCTGATGCTAGGAAAGAGTGAAGGTAGGAGAAGGGGACGACAGAGGATGAGATGGTTGGATGGCTACACTGACCAAATGGACATGAGTTTGAGTAAACTCCAGGTGTTGGTGATGAATAGGGAGGCCTGGTGTGCTGCAGTCCATGAGGTCGCAAAGAGTCGGATACGACTGAGCAACTGAACTGAACTGAGGTATCACCTATGCAGCATCTCTCTATTGTAGTTAACATCTACCCAAAATAGCAGAGAAAAGAGGGCACACTTGAAGATAAGACTCATGTCATCCCTGGAAATCCCTCTCAACCATCAATCTGCAGAATAGACAAAGCAGGAAATTTTGTTCTCTGTAAGGTAAGGAGGATAAAGAATATGTTGGAAAGGATTTCTTTTTCTCTTTTCATCACCCTATTGTGAACTGAAAACAAACTTTATTAAACTGTTAAGTTCTTGCTACATATTAAATTAAGATATACTTTCAGAATTGGAGAGTTAGGAAAGGGATCTGTTTTGCTTCCATCAGCTCTTTCCTCCAAAACCTCCACCCCACTACCAGTTTCAAAAGTCAAGTAAGCAAGCAGGAAAAATCAGCTTCATTATGCTAGTAGTGTCTTCTGCATTTTTAAAAAACAAAACCCAAAAAAGAAAACAACAAACTTGTTATTCTCTATAAAGCACTGGAAATTTTCTTTGGAAATAACAAACGTCTAATTTTTTTCACTTATGTTTGCAATAGAGGTCTTTGGTATTAATGATTAAAAGTGCATTTTAATGTATTTAGTAAGAATATTGTTTAAGAGAACTGCTTGCTTAAGCCATATTTGTATCTCTAATACAGAATTCAGTAGATAATAGTACTAATATAGCAACTTACCCGATATAAGTCATTGTTGGTCAGGGAAAAGGGCAGATTGGATACATACACTGTGCTTTTACTTGGGGCCAATCCACCACTCATTTCTAAAAAACAAAGAAACAAACCAACCCAGAAGCAATCTAAAACAGGTATTCTCCCTTCCAAGTAAAACCAATACTATAGGCAAATGACAAATTTATACAATTTTTCTTACTTCTTAGTAATAGTCAGTGATAGCTTATGGTGAACGATGTCAGATTCATAATCTCCAAAGAAGATTTAGCTTCGGGATCAGGGACAAGGGTTGATCACTTAGAGCTTTTGTGTCACAGAAGTTTTATTACAGTGGAAAAAGTACAGAGAAAGCTTCTGACATAGACATCAGACGGGGGAAGAAGAATGCTCCCGTGCTAGTTTTATTAAAGCCTCATATACTTTTACCAGACCCACTTCCACAACCTATGTCTTAAGATGACAAGATTAGTCAGAAGGTTCTCCTTAAGAAGGAGAAACATGTCCTTGAGCAAGATACATTGTTGTTACATAATCATTAGTACAGAGTTTAAGGAAAAGCATACAAATGAATTGTTTTGTTGTGTAAGCATTAGCTCTGGGCTTAAAAAAAGTTAAAGACTGTTGTCATAAAAACCTAGAGTTTAAGGAAAAAAAGTTTTATATGACTAAGACAAAGCAATGTAGAAAAAAGACTTTGTCCTTTTCTCCTCTTCAAGAGCCCGGAGACTCCTTAACCTACCTAAGAATTGGCTCAGGAACAATGACTCTGGCTGGGTGAATTAAGGAATTGCTTTGCTCCAGACACCACTTAAAAGATTCTTTACACTAACCCTTTCAGTGATGGCATATGGTGTGAATGAAGAGGTGAGTTTCAAACAAATCAGGTAAAAACTCTGAGGCTCCTCTTAATCTTTCATCAGGCTAAGAGCAAGACAGTGCTTTCAGATACACCTAATACCTCGCCCACCCACGTGAGAAAAAGCCTGGGAGGGCAGGAAGAACCTTAGCCACCGATTTTCACTGATTTGGTTGAGTGCCTTTTTGATTGTCTTAATATTTTTCTCTGGAGCAGTGCTAAGAAGAAATTTTACCCTCACATTATGATGTAATTAAAGTTCTCTCAAATCACTAACTTCGCATATTATCGCTAAATTATGAAATGACACATTTTATCATTTGAATAATTTTCAGTGTCCTGAAGAGTACTGGCCTGTACATGTATTTTTAAGTTTACAAGTAAAATCTGTAACTCATTTTCATATCGTATATTGCAAAGTCAGCAAGTCATCTGTGAGAGTTATACCAGATTCAACCAAGTTCATATTTTCGATTTAAAAAGCGTGTGTGGTGTGTACTAAAGATCACAAGTTGCAAAATAATGTTTCTAAGGCATCCTTATTCGCGATGTGATAGGAAAATCGCTTGATGATTGGAATGTTCTGGAGGACAACTTCAGGAACCTAGCACGATAGGTCGCTTTTTAAAAGCTTCCAACTGAAACTTTTCACACGTTAGCCGCTCTGGTGAGAACGGTGAGGGCAGGTAAAGGTCCTGAGATAAAAAGGGTGGCAGAAGAAAGGGGTAAACGTTTCCGGAACCTTGTTCTGGAAAGCAGCCCGCAAGGAGCAAGGCCGCAACGGGAGAGGCGTTTACCTTCACGTGGGGCGGGCCCGGAGGACAGGGCCAGAAGAGCGCAAGCCTCAGCTCACTTGGGGCTCAACCCCGACCGTTCGTCGCTCCTTGCAGCTGCCTCGGCATCACGGATCCCGGGAAGGGTCAGGAGCAGGAGACGAGAAAGTAGATACCGTGCCTCTTCCCGGCTTTCCTTTGACCCAAACCCCGGAGGTGGGCTCAGGGGCGGGCGCTTTTGCTGACGTCTTAGTGTGCGCCGGAAGTGCCTCCTCGGGAGCGCGGCGACGAGTGGACGACTACATTTACGGGATCTCCAGGCGGCCCAGAGTCGGTGAGCGCTTTTTACCTTTACGAGAGGTGGATGGGGACGGGCACGCGGGCTCCTGCACCCGGGAACGGGGAGCGAGCGGGCGGGCGGGCGTTTCCGCGGTGGGACCTGGAGTCTCCCGCTGAATTTGAACTGTGCAGGGATTCTGCTCCTGCGGTTGAGGGGGAGAGACCCAGCGGAGTTTGGCATAAAGGAAAGTGTTCAGTCTGTGGTATAATAGGTTCGCTTCTCTTTAGCACCATAATAGGCGAAAAGAGGGCTGAACTAGGTGGCATCGGTGACCCGAGGTCGGTTAGTAAGTCGATAAATTTACTGAATGTGTTCGACGTGCCCAGTTCGGTCATAGGCACTTTGGGAGTTACAACAAAGTGTAAAGCGGCCTTTTTCTGGAGGATCCCTCAGTCTCGTTGGGGAGGCAAGGTCAACTTGGGGACACTCGAATTCACACAAAGACTCATCCTGGGTATTGGTATGGACAACTGTAAAACTTCCTGGCACCTTTTTTCTCCCTATAAATCTGTAATGGGCAAACACTTTTTTTCTCTAAGTGGCAGTAAACAGGCCCATCATTCCTACAGAAACACCAGAAAATAATGCAGGGTAGTTTATACTTAACTTCTACCCGCCAGCACACGCACAACCCACTCCCTGAGAGCCTGCGTGCCAGCAGCCTGGAACTCAGAGCCTCTCGTGGAGTCTGCACGATCAATCCAGACCGAAGCTGATGTCTTCTAGAGAGACGGAAGTGCAATGCAGCCAGGGCGTAGCAGAATTTTGTTCCGGCCTCCGCGTCCGCCAGGGGACCGCTGGGACTAATTCTTTTGGCAAACTTGTGACCAGCCAAAACTGCCATGCTTCACATCCCTGTTATCCTTGGTTACCGCCCGAGATGTAAGCCGTTTGGTCTTCTATGCTACACCCTCATCCACCTGCTGCGCTATGCGTCCTCCCTCTCCCTTTATTAGGCTATCACTGCTTCTCCCTCCTTTTCTTCCCACGTTTCACCCCTCAACACAGGAACTGTGCTCTCTGAAACCTTTCTTCTCCGCTTAACAAACTCTTTTACATATTCAACCTTCTTCCCACATTTCACCCCTCAACACAGGAACTGTGCTCTCTGAAACCTTTCTTCTCTGCTTCAAGCATATTCAACCTCTTTATGGAAATTTTCTTACATTTCCTGACTCTAATACTTGTTTTTTCCCTCCAGGCCTGTCAGTTGAGCCCTTTCTCTGACCCCTGCATTTGTGGGTGGATCATGGCTCTTGCTTCCCTGGCTTAGGCGGTAAAAAATCTTGCCTGCAATGTGGGAGAACCAGGTTTGATCCCTGGGTTGTGAAGATACACTGGAGAAGGAAATGGCAATTCACTCCAGTATTCCTGCCTGGAAAATCCCATGGACAGAGGAGCCTGGAGGGCTGCAGTCCATGGGGTCACAAAGAGTCGGACACGACTGAGCAATTAACACTTTTTTTCATGGCTCTAGACATATTCAACTTATTTCAATTTCTAATGCTTTTTTCTTCTGTCAGTGTCTTTGCAAAGTTCTTTTTTCTTTGCCACATTTGATTTCCCTTATCCCACGCCTACCCCTTTCTGGTTGATTGCTACATCTGCTAAAAATCTCAGTTTTAGTCAGTTTCTCTGCATGGTATTCCTCATCTCCTATAGACAGAGTTAAGTACCCTTGCCATGGGCGAAGTGCTCTCTACTTGCCTTTTAGTAGCATTTATCAGATGTATCCTGATTGCTTATCTCTTTGTCTTTGCTACTAAAGTAGGCTTTTGAGGAGGAACTGTATTTGTCTTGTTTACTTCCGTAAATCCAGAGCCTAATAGGCAGTCAAGAATTTCTTGAGTCATTGGAGTTGCTGCAGATACAGTCTCAGAATTCAGGTAGTTGATGTCATCTTCTGATTTTAAAATGTAAAAAAATCTTTCAAAAGGCATCAGCTGCTACTCAGCTACAGCTGCTTTGGCTATGGTGCCAGAGCATCCAGTTCTTTTCAAGGAAAGTTGGAGATACATTTTCTTTTTTTTTCCTTTATTTTTATTAGTTGGAGGCTAATTACTTTATAATATTGTAGTGGTTTTGGTCATATATTGACATGAATCAGCCATGGATTTACATGTATTCCCCATCCCGATCCCCACTTCCACCTCCCTCTCTACCCGATCTCTCTGGGTCTTCCCAGTGCACAGGTTTTATATTTGTTTTTATTAAAGATCCCCCCTTCCACCTCCCTCTCTACCCGATCTCTCTGGGTCTTCCCAGTGCACAGGTTTTATATTTGTTTTTATTAAACGTTATTTTGTTTCATTTGTTTTTAAAAATTTGAATTACAAGGCTATTCATTTCAGGTGCACTTTTTTTTTTTTTTTAATCTTTTACTGAATGATTTATTTCACTTAGAATAATGCCCTGGAGGTCCATACAACGTGTCACAAATGGAAAGATTTCATTCTTTTTATGGTTCAGTAATGTTCCACTATATATGTGTCAGTGGAACATTACTGAACCATAAAAAGAGATACATTTTCTTAAAGAGGCTATCTCCTACTTTGTAAATGTGGTCAATGGGATCATGTTTTATTAAGAAAAAAGAAACCTGGGCCAAACAAGTCACATGTGGCTTCTTAGTCATTGGTTTGGAATCTGTTTTAAGTGTTGTATGGTTCAGAAGTGGGCTTTCTGGAGAATAATAGATTTTGAACTGGGCCTTGATGGATGTTTGGAAATTGAGTGGGAGAACGAAAAGAAGTATTCCAGTTGGAGAAGTAAGTGTTCTTACTCTAGGGTAGTGTTCATTACTTTGTGCCACGGTGAGGAGGAAGGCGTGGAGAGAACAGGAGGCTAGGTGAAATAGCAGAAGGGGGGCATATGAAGGGCAGAGACGTTTGGATTTGTTACACTTAATTAATAGACTGTTAGGCTTCTTGTTCAGGGAGACTTCAGCTATGAATTTTAGCATGGTTAATTGAGTGTCTGTCATAAGTGTGGAATGGAGGGTAAAAGACAGGAAGGAGGCTGACCAGTTAAGACTGTAACATTTATCCATATGTGAAATGAGGTTTTGATTTGACAATATTATGCTCAGTCAAACATCTGATAATTTTGCCTATTAATTTCCGTTACTTGTTCACTTACAAGGAACAGTCAAGAAGCTACTACTAAGTATTTAATACTTAAAGAAGTTTTCTTAAAACAGTGAAAAGTCAAGTGACATGTGGCACTAGTAGAGAATGCAGCACTTTAACAGTACTGAGTTATCGCGTTCATTATGAAGCAAGCAGCGATCTTCTTTCCTCTAGCTTCTTCGCCTTCAATCCATCCTGTGTAGTTTCAGGTTAATCTTCTGGAATGACATTTTCCTCTCACTTTGTTTCTAGGTTTAAAAGCCTACAGGGAGCTCCTCGTCTAGTTTCTGGCTTTGTTGTGCCGTTTAATGCCTTTGGATTTGTTCTCTCTGCCCATGCCTGTTTGCTCTGTGAAGCAGTGTGGTATGGTGGGAAAGGCTTTGCTTTTAAAGTCATACAGGCCTGAGAATGATTCTAGGCTCCCTAAACCTCTGAGATTTGAGCTTTTCAGAGCCTCTGTGTTTTTTTCTGGAATGGGAAGGATAATATCTACTTCAGGGGAGGAAATGAAAGCTTGTTAAGTACCTATGCAGGCTCATTTCTGCTCCTTTGCAAAGCGAATCTTCTGCCCTCATCATTTGTATCTTTCTTAGGCACATTTCCATTCTGTTTTCTCGGATTCTGCCATTTACTGTTGTTCATCCACATTTAAGTGATTTTATATTTGATTATATTTGAATTTTCTTGGCTTTTTAAAATGGCCATTGCCTGTATTTATCTCTCTCTGAGCACTGAGCAGTGATTTAATTTCTGTGGATTCTTTGCTTTATTTTGACCATTTTAGTTGACATCCAGTGTTTTTATTTTCCTCATACACTTTATATTCTAAAATTTATTTTTGTTCTAGATGTCTGGAATTTTAAACATTTTCAAGTAGAAATAGTATTATGTAATTTTTAGGCTCAGGTCGACACTTAAAAACTTATTTTAATTTAGAATATCAGGAATATGTTTACCTTGCTTTAACATCAATGGATCAGATCCTAAGGTGAAACAAGTTTAAGATTTAAACAAAAGTCCCAGCCAACTATATAGGGATTTTAGAGAATAAGATGTAAGTATTTTTTGAAGCTCTCTAGATGATCCTCATATGAAGACAGGGTTGAGAATCACTGCTTTAGGTGCTGGAGCTAAAAGATTCTCATTGGTACCATTTGCTCAAAATGAAGTGGCATTAGTGTCATGAGATGTGTGATAAGACTCATAATCTAATAGTGCTCATTGGAAGTTTCCTGAATAACCAAAAGATAAAAGCCAATAATTAGGTTCTCCAGAATAGCTCATGTCGTGGTCATATGAATAATATGTTTATTTGGCCTATATTTAATAAGTACCTCTTGCCTGGAAAATCCCATGGATAGAGGACCCTGGTAGGCTACAGTCCACAGGGTCGCAAAGAGTCGGAGACGACTGAGCAACTTCACTTTCTCTTTACTCTGCTAAACAATAGAAGAGAGGTACACAGTCATTGCCTTTGCTGTGGTGTTTAGTTTGGGAGGGAGGAGAGGAAGGAAAGTAAATTGAATATTATGTTATATAGTACTAATATAGCAGGGTGCTTTAGGAGGCCTGAAGAAGAAACTCTTCACTCTTTCTGGAGAATATAAGAAAATCTTACATTTTAGCTGAATCCTGAAGAAAGAGTAGAGAGTGAAGACAGATAAGTTGAAGAAAGATATTCTAGGCAGGAGAAAGGCTTGCCATGATAGGGTGATGAGAAATAGTGCCACACTTGCAGAACAAAATGTAGTTTGATATGTCTGGAGGTTCAGGAGACTGGGAATTGGTAAGAGGTGAAGCTGGAGAGATAGGATAAAAGTCAAAAAAAGCCATTTTCAAGTTTAGGTGGAGACTTCATTCTTAGGAAATGGGGAGTCACTGAGAGATTTTTAAACTAGTTGTCTTATGGGAACACTCTTGTTATAGTTGCTGGATGTAGGAGGTGACATCAGAAGCAAGGAGACCAGTGTTTTACTGTTGGGGGGTCCAATGACTAGACTAAAAGGATATGAACAAAGATACTGATAGCTGGGATAGGGAAAGACACATGTGCCTTATATATTGAGGTGATAGAAATAATTGGCTTTAGTTAACTGAGATATGATAAGTTTTGGTTCTTGTGTGACTCAGGTTTCTGATTTGGGCCTTTGTTTATCTGATATGGTGTCACTGACCAAAATGGGGAAGACAGGAGATGAAGCAGGTTTCTGAGTAGTGTGAAGGCATACTGAATTGGAGGTGCTGTGAGATATCCTCTTGAAAGGAAGTGGAGATGTGGGAATCATTTATCTAAAGAGGGCATGTTACCAGCATTAACAGATATTTTCTATGGATACTGAACACATACATTGTATGGATTGTTCTAGGTGCTTGATATTAATAAATTAACAATGTAGTTCTTATAGTTTACATTCCTAGTAGCAAGGGACCAGTAATATACATCAGAGTTATCTAGTATCTTAGATGATTAGTGCTATGAAAAAAAATAGCAAAATTAGGGGAATCTGGTAGAAAAGTGACATTAAGACGACTTTGGAAGTGACACTGAGGGTTAACCATGCAAATACCTGGAGAAAAGCATTCTGGGTGGGGTATTGCCAGTGCAAAGGCCTGAAATGTGACCTAATTGCTCACCGTGGTTTGCTATCACATCAGTTATTGAATGAATATAAAGAGTGAAAGAAATGCATTTGGGAAGGAGGGAAAGCTATTTATCCTGAGTATTTAATACTGGAAGTTGACTAGAGAGATCTT